GCAAGGGGGGAGAGAAGGCAGGCGGGAGCAAGGACCCCAACAAGCTGGGTGCCTCGGTGGCTTCGAGACTCCAAAAGAACACCGGGTTGAAAGGCGATGGATGTCATCTGGATGTCTTCAGACATCTGGGTGGTTGGCACCATACCGCCAGAGCACCTGGAAGAGTGACCGCATTTTTCTTTCTTTTTTTTTTTTTCTTTTCATTTTGTGCAATTTGTTGGGCACCCTATGGGTCCCAGATGTGTTCCAGAAAGACGTTAGCTGAAAAAATAAACCTGCTTGTCATTCAGCGGGTACACACGACCCTATCTGTGGGTCTCACGTGGGGGGTCGTTGCAAATGGAGGCGTACGGTGGAACCCAGGCCCGAGCTTCTCAACCTGGGGTTGGGGGCTGTTTTATGTACCCGTCCAAAGCCCAGGGAGTTTCTGTCCAGTGAGTGACATTTGGAGTCTCAGAGGGCCAGGCCTCCCCACTCAGCTTCTCCAGGAGGATGAGTGAGGCCAGGCGGGCATGTGCCCCCTGACCAGGATGGCATCTCCCCTCTCCAGAACCTGGCAGCCGACCTGGCACTTGGTAGGAGCTCAGTAAACATCTGTCGCATGCCTGGGTGACCTGGAGGCAAGGTGTGCAGGCAGAGGAAGTCGGACCTGGCCTCTGCTCCTTCCCAGCTGGCTGACCTTGGACAGGTCCCTTCTCTGAGCGTCAGTGTCTGCCTCTGAGGAACAGGAATGATGCTGATGTGTTGAGGGGGGATATGAGAATAGCTCTACCGCGAGGTTGATGGGCACAGCACCCAGTGACCAGAGCTGCCCTTGATGATGCCCACCAGGGAAACCCGTGCTCCTTCTTATTCATTCCTGATCACCCAGTGAGGTGAGGGTTGCTGGTGCTCCCTCAGCAATGACAAGTGTCATTCCTGAGGGTGGCCGCCCTGCTGGGCTCAGGCAGGCACCAAGTACAAGGGTCAGAGGCAAGTCCTTCAGAGGCCCCTTCTCCTGGAGGCTGGAAGGGGTCCTTGAACCTCCTGAGGTCGTGTGCAGAACTCTGTGTCCCATTCACTGTCATATTTCAGTGTATTTTTCTCAGCGACAGCCTGGCCTCGCATATTTTAAAATTGGTGCACTATAATGACACATGACCGTGGGACAGTTGTGAATTTGTTGTGTACGCACACAATATATAATAATAATCAATGACCCTTCCCGCCTCCTTCCTCTGTCCTGTGGTCTCTATTTGCAGGAGACACCCCCCCACCACCTTTTCTTCCCTCTCACTTCCACACAGGAGAGAAAACACATGGTCCTTAACTTTCTGGGTCTGCTTGCTTGTCTGACGTAATGCTCTCAAGTGCCGTTCTTCTTTGTGGCTAAATCAAATTCCATCGTGTATGGAGAACACAGTTTCTCATCTAGTCATCTGTGGGCGGACACCCAGGCTGGTTCTGCAACTTTGCCATTGTGAACGGTGCTGCTTGGTGGTTGGCAGGCCTGTGTGGTGACAGTAGGCTGGCTTCTATTCTTTAGGATGACACCCAGGAGTGGCACAGCTAGCCCAGTGCTTCTGTTAGTTCCCAAAGGGGCCAATGGCCTGGAGTGGTTGGGGGAGACCCTCTTTCAGAGACAGAACTATCCCTGCCATCTAATACCAGGGACGGACTGGTGCATAGAGAAGGGAAGAGAGCCATTTTGTAAAGACACAGCAGCACTTTAACTTGTACCAACTCAACAAATACTAACTGGGGACCTCCTTACAGAGGGTGTCTGGAAAGGGAATTCATCAGGTATCCATCCTTTTATCCATTAGTCCATCCATCCCCTCATCCAACCATCCATTGGGCCATCTGCCCGTCCATACATGCATCCATCTGTCCATCCATCCATCTGTCCATTCATCCATCCACCCACTTACCCATCTATCCATCTACCCATTCATCTGTCCAGTGATCCCTCAGTCTGTCCATCCGTCCATCCATCCATCCACCCACCTATCCATCCACCTACCCATTTATCCACCCACCTATCCATCCATTCATCCATTCCTCATCTATCCATCCATCTTTCCATCCATACGTCTATCCATTCATCTACCCATTCATCTGTCCATTGATTCCTCAGTCTGCCCATCCATCCATCCATCCATCCATTCATCCATCCATCCATCCATCCATCCATGTGTCCATGCATATGTCCATCTATTCATCCTCCCATCCATCTGTCCACTGACCCCTCAGTCTGTCCATCCATCCATCCATCTACCCACCTACCCATCCATCCATCCATTCATCCTTCTGTCTATCCATACGTCCATACATCCTTTTATCCATGACCTACCTATTCATCCGTCTATCTATCTATCCACCTGTCTATTGACCCATCCATCCATCCATCCATCCATCCATCCATCCATCCATCCATCCATCCACTGCACAAATATTGACTGCATGTCTTCTTCATGGAGCAGGGACCAGGGACTTGGTAGTCAGATTACTTTGGGTCTAGCACCATTTATCAGCCATATGAGACCCTGAGCAAGTTTTTAAACCTCTGTTTCTTTTCCATCATCTAAAGAGTAAGATTAACAGTGCAAGCACCTCATGGGTTGTTGGGAGGATTAAATGGGTCACCTCCTAGAGGACGCTTAGGCAGAACAGGCACTGAATGTGTTCTTGTTGTTACATTGATACTGTCGATGGCATTATTCCTGAGCGGGTATCCGTCTGGGTGCATGGTGATGGAGAAGTCAGACAATGTCCCATCTTTGTGGAGTTGACAGGCTGAGGAGCAGAGAAGAGGATAGTGACACTGTACTGAACATCTCCTCACGCCAATGCCTAACCCACATTTTCCCAAGGGTCCCCTCCACCCCCTGCGTAGGAAGAGCTGCTTGTACCTTTCAATCTTCCAGATGCAGACACGGAGCTGAGAAGGGCCAGGCTGCTCACTTAGAGCATCACATTCGAGGGCTGGACCAGCCAGCTCCCTCTTCTCTTCAGAACGGAGGTTGGGGCTGACCTTCTCCAGTCCTGTCGCCAAGTGGCCCTCTCTGCTCCTGGCTGTCGGGCCGCTGGCACCTGTCTCACAGGTCCCTGTCCCCCTGTCTCCGCAGATGAGGAATGCTCCACTGCAGACCACCCCTACAAGAAGCCCTACATGGAGACACCCCCCAGCGAAGAGGACCCCTTCTACCGCCCCAGCTACCCGCAGCAGCAGGGCCTGAGCGCCTCCTACAGGACAGAGTCGGCCCAGCGACAGGCCTGCATGTACGCCAGCTCCGCGCCGCCCAGCGAGCCCGTGCCCAGCCTGGAGGACATCAGCTGCAACACGTGGCCCAGCATGCCCTCCTACAGCAGCTGCACGGTCACCACGGTGCAGCCCATGGACAGAATCCCCTACCAGCATTTCTCGGCTCACTTCACCTCGGGGCCCCTGGTCCCCAGGCTGGCCGGCATGGCCAACCACGGCTCCCCGCAGCTCGGAGAGGGGATGTTTCAGCACCAGACCTCCGTGGCCCACCAGCCTGTGGTCAGGCAGTGTGGGCCTCAGACTGGCCTCCAGTCCCCCGGCAGCCTGCAGCCCCCTGAGTTCCTGTACTCTCACGGGGTGCCCAGGACCCTGTCCCCCCAGCACTACCACTCCGTGCACGGGGTCGGCATGGTGCCAGAGTGGAGCGAGAACAGCTGAAGCCGGGTGGCCCTGCCGCAGGCATTTGCTGAGAGAGAGGAGAGGGGCGAGGGAGAGAGATGGGGGCAAGGAGGACCCCCCCACGAGTTTTCCACTCTGCATCTGCGCACTCGAGGCCCCCCGGCGCTGATCTGATCAATAGCTTGCAAACCAACCACCATCCAAAAAAAAAAAAAAAAAAAAATCTGACTCTGTCGTTTTGATTCCAAACTTCAAAAACCAAGAGAAGACGGCGTCGACTGCCCGAAGGACTCCCCACTCCTCACCGGCCGCCTCGGCCCCCTCATGTCTCCCGATGCCTTCTTTTAGGTTCCAGAACATCCTGCTCAGTGAGTGTCTCATCCTGGTGGATCTTGGGAACCTCGCGCTGTCTCGGTGTTAATGTCGACTTTGTTATATAATAAATAATAATATATTTTTTTTTCTTCTGATTTTCTTAATGGGACCCAGTCCCTTATTGGAGGGAGATTCCAAATAGACACTTGCGGGATTCCCTGGGCAAAAACCAGCCCTAAAACTTAACCTTGGCCTTCCTCTTCTGTCTGAGAGAAGCACCTACCTCTGCCGCGTGATGTCTCCCAGAAGGTCCCCACGTCCCCGGCTGGTCTCTGCCTCTGCCAGCTCTCTGGTGCCCAATTTTGCCTTTGACTTGCACAGATGGACTTGGGATCAGGCCGATCTCCGCCCCACCGACCCCCAGCTCCGGGTCTCTCCCGCCATCTGTCGCTAAAAAAGTGGCCTATGGTTTCCCCGTCCGGAAATCTTGCTTTGAAAAAAAAAAAAAAAACTTAAAAAAGCCCTGGTTGACCTGCGGGCAGGACTCTGATAAGCAGAGAGCAAGCTCTGTGCCGACAAGAAAAAAAAAAAAAAACCACATAAATATTCTTTGCGATTAAAACAAACAAAGCCAGCCCCAGGCGTCCTGCCCACCCACGGGATGCAAAGCAGAATCTTCAGGTCCTCAAGAGGCCACATCTGCTCACCGTTGAGCTCCAAAGAATCCGCACCAGCACCAAAGGCCGACACTCAATTAATTGTGTGTATCGACAGCAGAAAACAGTATTAAAAAAAAATGTGTGTGTAAGTAAGACGTTATTGTAGGGGTCCCCAGATGTAATATTTTACTGGTACTATTTATTTATAAATAGGAATTCTAATTAAGTAATAACAAGAAATCCAGCATGGGAGCTGACCAAGAGCTTTTAATTTTATTGATACTCAAAAACCAAGTTTGTGTTTTTTTTATTTTTCCCCCTTTTTTTCTTCTGAATGATCTTTGCTTTCTCGATTTTGAAAAAAAAGAAGAAAAAAAAACTTTTTTTTTTTTTTTAACTGACCCTAATAAAGAGAACAGGGTAATATGTGAGACTGAGTATGTCCCAGGTCGTGAGAGCTTGGGTATGTTTGTACGTGAGTGTCTCCGCGATTTCATCTTTCTATGTGGCTGAGGGAGGGAGGGGAGAATAAGTACTTGTTCCTTATATTTGTGTGCCAATTAAGCCTAATAAATGCTATGTGCTTAAGGAAGTACAAGGGACTTGGAGCACCCTCTTCTTTCTGCTACTGGGTAGAGGGGACAATAAGAATGTCACCTTTCCTAGGCCAGGAGCTACTGAGAAGAGTGAATTAATTATAAAGAAATGACAATCAAGCTTCTCTCACATGCAAGGGAGAACTAAGTCAATGGCTTTTCTGTCCCCAAGGGACAGAATGAGTACAGTTGTACTGGGTAGGTTCTGACCCGACTCTAAATAGGTATTTAATTCTGATGGGTTTAATTTTTTTAAAAAAGTTTGCCTTGGAAGAAATGTCCCTCCAAACTAGTTTTACCAACTCTACAATCAGTCAGTCTTATTTGATTTCTGAAGAAAATCATCTGAAGACAGAGGATGATTATTTCTTATTCAGAGTGCTTGGGACCAGATTTGGGAACTTTTATTTTCAGTTTTCAATTTTGAAGTATCTGCCCATATACAATGAGCTACCTCGGGGGAAGCAAGTCCAGCCTAAGCATGGCATTCATTTATGCTTTATTTATGACTTATCCGCAACTAATTGTACACAGTAGTTTTAGGGCACTTGCACGTCGTTGGTGGGGTTAGTGTAGAATTTTCCATTTGTAGTGGTAGGTCTGTATTCAGAAAGATTCCGATTCAGGAGCTTTCGGATTTCAGACTTTTGGACGAAGGATGCTCCATCTGCGCAGAAGAGAACCACCCACCACACTCCTCAGAGTCTTGCCACTGTCAAAAAAAAAATCATTAAAAACACGTCCACAGCAGGTTTCATAGATCACACAAGGAACACCGTATCCACGACCTTCGCAGGTTGACCTCTCTGGATTCCACACCGTAGTTCTAGTGGATCTTCTCACTGTGTGGGTAGGATTGAGGGTGGAGTGCCCCCAGATCCGTGAAGTTTCATCCTTGTGTTGATGTCAAGAGGCGCACAGATATCATTATGTTCCTTTAATATATTTAGCGGGTGCTCGCTCTAGCCTGGGCACGTGGTGGGTACTGGGAACATAAAGATGAACAGGGTGATAGGGGCCCTGTCCTCCGGGGCTTGTGGTTTAGTGAGAGAAGCTGCCCTTGAGCAGTGGTCTCTACTATCAATGAATTGTAGTGTCTGAATGAACTGCTGGGTGCTGTATGCCCAGGGCCATCCAAGGGAAGACGAGGGCCCTAACACAGTCTGGGTGAGGTGACTTTTGTGCTGAGCCCTAGTGCGGAGTAGCAATGATCCAGGTAAGAATTTGGGAGGAGAAGCATTTCAGGCAGAGGAAATCATTTATGCAAAGGCCCTGAGGCAGAAATTGTGGTAGAATACGGAGATGTAGGTTAATATGTGGGTAGAAATCACCAAGTCCACATTGGCTCATTTGTTCAACAAATATATATTAAGGTCCTGTCATATATGGTAGAGACTCTGCCTTTTCGAGGATCTGCTAATTGTGTTAGATTCTTTTCTAGTTAGTCCCCAGAGCTGCCAAGGACAGGTTCTGGCTATGAAATGTTGGGCTTCTTTGAAGCTAGAAATATTATAGCATCCATTCTAGCTTCTTGGTCCACTTGGGTGTAAGACTTAAAATTATGAAACAGAGAGGAACTTTCTAAGCCAGATTGTTGATATTCTTGAGTTCAGAGAGGTTAGGAGTCTTCTGCAGATCACACAGCAGAGCTCAGCTTGGAACCTAAATTTATGCAAGACTTGACTTCCTCCTTTATTAAGAGGAGGTATTCTACCTGACTCAAAGGGCTATTGTGAATTAAAGTGAGATAACATCTGTGAAAATGCCCAGGAAGTTATTCAACACAGTAAATGTTCAATAAGTGTTTGAAAAAAAAAGACTTTAATACACAAAAAGCATTTTTTTATTCATGGACTTCATAAATATATATTTTAATAAACAGTGATGCCTATTGCTAATGAGAAAATAGGAAATCTCAGAAACTGCTTTTTGGAATGAAAATAAGATAAACATGCTGGGTGCGGTGGTGCATGCCTATATCCCTGTGGTTCAGGAGGCTGGGGCAGGAGGATCACGAGTTCAAAGTCAGCCTCAGCAACTTAGTGAGGCCCTAAGCAACTCAGTGAGACCCTGTCTCCAAACAAAGGATAAAAAGGGCTGGGGTGTGGCTCAGTGGTTAAGTGCCTCTGGGTTCAATCCCCAGTACAAAAAAAAAAAAAAAAAATGAGATAAACATTTTGAGAGGAGGGCTTGGGAAAATATACCAAAAGTTTCAACAAGTTTGCTAATGATTGAATCTGATTATTCTGGTTTGAGGAATGGATCCTAAGATGTGTACAAATACTTTCTGGAAATATCAACATAAATTCTTTAATCTGTGCAAAATTGGAGGGAGTCCTAATCTCCACTAATATGGGGCCAGTAGGTTAGTAGGTGACCATCTAATGGAATGTTGCATAGCAGTAAAAACACACTTGCAAAGAAAGTGTGCATCGAGATGCTCAGTGTGGGGAAGAAGCAGCTCCGCTCTGCGCCGCGGCCCAGTGATGCAGCCTGGTGATGCCACATCACTGACTCCTGCCCAGGAGAGAGACCCCAGAAGCAGCAGGGGAGAGTTGTGGGTGGCTTAAGTTCTCTTTCTGCTTTGGGTGGCTTCCTCTTTCCTTCCTTCCTTCCTTCCTTCCTTCCTTCCTTCCTTCCTTCCTTCCTTCCTTCCTTCCTTCCTTCCTTCCTTTCTTTCTTGAAGATGGATCATCTTTGTTCTAAGGAATAGATTTAGTAAAATACCATCTAGCTTGTGTTTTGGTTGTTGACCCCATGACTCGCTGGAGAAGGTGGGACACTTCTGTCTATGTGGAACGTGAAGGGACGGAGGTCCATCATGGGTGGACGTGACCTGGGCAGGCACAGAGCTGGCCCCAGTGCCAGTTGGCCGGCTGCTAGTCACAGAGTGTCCTGCCTCAGTAACAAGGGGACGCCTGAGTATCTCGGTCCCTGCTTCCTGAACTGCTGCTTGCTGCTCTGGCCAGGTGAGGCTGCTGCTCCGGGTGCACCGTGGATTCCTTGTTAATAAATGCAGCACACACTCACACTCACATGCACACTCACACACTCACACTTTCACACTCTCACACACATTCATACACACACACACACACTCACACACACTCACATACACTCACACTCACACACTCCCAAACGCACTCATACATACTCACAAACACACACACTCTCACACACTCACACACACACATACACTCTCTCACTCTCTCACACACACACTCACATGCACACAAACACACTCAAACTCACACACACTCACACTCACATACACACTCACACACTCACACTCTCACAAACACACACACTCACACACACTCATAATCTCTCACACTCACATACACATATGCACACACATACTAACACACATACTCACACTCACACACAATCACACAGACGAGTGAATGCATATGCAGTCAGGCACTCATCTATCTCTCCTTTGTCCTCTGCTCTGGGTTATTGAATTCACGTGGCCACTTTTTCCCTGTGACCTTGGTAAAGTTACCCAACCTCTTGGACCTTCCCTTTAATCACGTTGGAAGGCGATGCTTTGAGTCCTCATCCTAGAGGGCTCTGGGTATGGTGAGGTCCCGTGAGAACATGAGCACAGAGTGCTTCACACGGAGGCCGGGCTTGGAGAAAGTGCTCATGCT